AGACAGACAGACAGACAGACAGACAGACAGACAGACAGACAGACAGACAGACAGAGGTAGAGAGGGAGATATAGGGGAGGGGGAGTGTAGACAAGGAGAGAGACAGGGAGAGAGAGAGACAGAGAGAGAGAGAGACAGAGAGAGAGAGAGAGAGAAAGAGGAAAGAGAGAAAGAGAGAGAGAGAGAGAGGGGAGAGAGAGAGATGGTGAGATTGAGAAAAAGAAAGAGGGAACGAGAAAGACACACAAGAAGAACAAATGGGCGAGGCAGAAATGAAGAGGCAGAGAGAGATAGAGTGAGACACGACTATACAACAAACTGTTACCCTTTTGGGTTTTTTACACAGGGCTGAAAAATCCCAACGGCTGTGAACCTAAGGGGACTTTCTTTGTGTCCAAGACTAACACAGAGTTCGGTCTGGTCAAGCAGCTGTCAGACGCTGGTCACGAGATCGGGATGACCACTCCTGACGGTCTGATCCCTCAAGACCAAGACCAGTGGCAGGCGGCCTTCAGAGGTATGTCGTCACGACTGGAACTCAGAATAAATGATTCCAATAAACTGCTAGGTAAATTTTTTTTAAAAATGTAGGACAGAGAGTCTCTTTTCTTTTGGTTTTATTTATTTTTGTTTATTTGCTAGTTAATTAATGGATTAAGCAAGTACTAATACTAATCAGGGACTCCTAGACAGTCACATTCATGAGCCATGTTTTGCGTTCTCTAATTTAAAGAAGAAAAAAACAATAAATTAAAACCCTATCAAGTAAAAATGAAACCAACAGGAAACATTTGGCTGTGAAGCTTGTTTTCTATGTGTCACGCCATTATGCTCAAATGAAGTGCAAAAATGTGATGCATGCTGACAAAAAGTATGCTTTCATTCTCTAATTTTAGCATCATGAACACAGATATAGGCGTCAAATTTATATGTTTGGTTTGTATAATTTATTATATGAAATGATGAAAAGTATTATAAAATAAAGAAAATAGCATCAGATTAAAATCTAATAACTTGATGTGGCTGTTTTCGGCCGGCGTCTCCATTCGTGGATTTTTAGAAGTAACTCACTTTTTCAGCATGCTTCAAAAATACCAACTTCGTTATTTTTGAGAGCGTGTGACATCTTACCTTTCCCCTTATAATTTGACTCAGATTGCACTCTCCATAGTGAACTTGAACTACGCCAAAGAGCACGGTCAAGGATATTAGTACATAATACGTCTATGGTAAAGAGAGTAAATTCCAATGAATTGTCATTTTCTCAAAGCTCAGCAAGTTGTAAATAAAAAAAATACACGGATTGAGGGACGATTATTTGTTGTCGAATGGAGGCAAGATCAAGAAAACAACAGAACCGTAACTGAATAAAACTGCCTCAAAAGGGTATAATGAAACAAAGACAACAAATATATGATTTTTCATATAATAAGTAGTTATATAGTGCTGATTCAAAGCGATTTTTTACACTGTAAGCCTTTGTTATGAGGCTTGGAATCAGAATTTAACATCCATTTCTGACAAACTGAGCAAAGTGAAAGAATCACTTTGAATACTCCCTAAATAACCCCGGCCCAAATTGTTATTACGTAAATAAAAAAAGGCTGAAAAGGTGAATCAAAATGTACTCGTCAGCATTGCTGTCCAGCAAAGTAAAGCACCTGAGCAATAGGGACATCTGACTTTACCTGCATTTTCGAGAACAAAGTTAGGTTATATAATAATATAACTATTATGGATTTATACAATACAACGATATTATACATGTACTTTAAAAAAGAAGCAACAAATTAAATTTACAGGAATTCAAAGCCCTCCAATATAACTGCCCCATTCATTTCCCCATCTCTATTTCACATTCACTTTCCACATTCATCTTTATCCTTTCCACATTCACATTTCATATTCCACATTCCACATCCACATTTCATATTCCAGATTTCCACATTCACATTCCTCATTCCCCACTCCCCAATTTGCATTCCACATTCACATTCCACATTCCCGACTCCCCATTCCACATTCACATTTCATATACCACATTCCACATTCCCCCAATTCACATTTGCATTCCACATTCCCAATTCCACATTCCCCATTCCATATTCCACATCCTAAATTCCCCCCATTTCATAATCTCCAGAAATGAAGGCAGAATTGGTTGGCGCCGGAATTCCTGAGGCCCAAATACAGGGCAGTCGGGGACCAGAGCTGTATGCTGGGGGAAATGACCAGTTTGGCGCCATTTCCGATGTGAGTTTGGGTTTTGCGACATTGTCGTTGTTGTTGTTGTTGTTGTTGTTGTTGTTGTTTTGTTGGGGTTTTTTTTTTGGGGGGGGGGGGGGAGGTTATTGTTTGTTTGTTTGTTTGATTTAATTTCTCTTTGTCGCGTAAAGCTCTGACACAGAAACTTACATTTTCATAATTATCCCCCCCCCCCCCCTGAATTTTATTTAGGTTCTGTTGTGTTTCTTTTGTTTCTGTATTTATCTTTTACTTTTTGCTTGGTTTTGTTTTTATGTGTCTGATATTCTTAAAACGATAGAGAGAGGAAGTGGCAGGTGGGCGTGGAAGGTGAATAGCCAGTTTCGTTTGTTAGTGGCCTTGGTCAACAAGTGCCTTGCTACTTTACTTGGGGTCTGGGAATGATCCAACTGAAATGTTGCATATCTTAAGCAAGTCCCCAGTATTCCGTATGGCATCATTAGTGATTACCTTAGCCATTTAGGGCGTTATAAACATTCAAACTCCCACAGTTTATCAATGTCCACGTAGTGCTCTATGTATATAGACACTGTGTTTAACCTACAAAAAAAAAGGACATACATAATAATGATATATTTCTTCTTTCTGCCAGGTGGGTTTGGGCTACGATTCAACATGTGTGAGCATTGAATACAGATCCAAAGAGAACTTGAAATGGCCGTATACTTACGACTTCGTCGAGGGAACCCCAGATTGCACTATCGGAAAGGCACCCACGCAGTCCTTCCCAGGTAAAACGTTATGGTTATCAATCGTTATACAAAAAAACCCGCAATAAGTAAATGATAAAAACACAATAATTTCCACCCGCCCCCCACCCCCCTGGATGATTTTCCAATTTTTCTTTCTAAATATTTGATTCGACAGGAAAATGGCAGTTCTTGGTGGCAGACATTGAGTACAAAGGACAGAAATGTGCCAGTCCTTCCGCCTGTTCACCCCTCATCCAAACGTCCCAAGACGCCTTTGATATGCTCTACGAAGCGTAAGTATTTTGGTTATTTCCTTTGAGGCTGCAGGGTGTAGGAATGTGTCAATTTCGTTTAATTATATAATTTCCCTTACTCTTTGGAGTCAGTTTTAGCTAAAATATGTTTTGTTCGCGGGGAACACTTACATACATTTAAAAAAAATCTATCCAGCACTCTCTTCGTTTGACTGTCTGAATGTCTGTGAGTCTATTAACATTTTGTCTGTCTGTCTGTCTACCTGTCTGCCTGTCTGTCTGTCTGTCTGTCTGTCTGTCTAAGTCCTACTACGATGGGCATTGTCTGCCACACGGAAGTTCAAGTTTCAAATCTGAGTGAGTTTTGAAATAGTAGCCTTCTTGTTTTTCCTGAACTACTTCCTGACAGTCATGTGTCTCTACAGGGGTTATACAGGAAGTACTCTATCTCTGACATGGTGTTTATTACACAATTAGAATGTTAAATTATAACTGTCATGGTTAAGATTACTATTAATATTATTGTTTTGAATGACATCATCATCATCATCATCATCATCATCATCATCATCATCATCATCATCATCATCATCATCATCATCATCATCAACAACAACAACATCAGCATCAGTATCAGCATCAGCATCAGCATCAGCATCATTGACAACAACAGCAACAGCGATACAAACGAAGCTCGATAATTCTTTGCATGCATAATACATTTTTCAATACCCAAACTGTTGTCGCTGTGTAGTTAAGTTGAACACACACTTAGCTACCTTAGAATTACAAAGTTCCATCTGCTCAGTACCTAGTTTTGAAAAAAAAAACCCACATGTTTATTAAAAGTTTGAATTTCTCAACGTGTCAGGCTTTCCCCAGTGCAATTATCTGGATATCTTGATAACGAATCCCAATAAACTTACGATTTTGATCGAGAAAATAGAATAATATGTGAGCCAGCGTGGTGGAATCAAGCTCTCGTCAAAATAATCAAAGTGAAGAAACTTGCATTTTTCACGCGTTTGTGAATTTTTATCAAATTTTTGTTTTTTGCCTCAACACCTTTCATGCCCATTAAAGAACTTATTTCTGTGTGGATTTTTCTGATAAACATTGATTAAAGGCACAACAAATTGTTAATTTTCAGTTACGACGGACTCTTAAGCTAAGGAAATAACTAATCCTTGCCGGCCAATTTCTCACTAATTTTACCTCTGAAAACAGATGACCACACATCCTTCTTTCGCAAATATCCCGACTTGTATTCAAGATAAATGGATATTTTTTTCATCAAAATAAAGAAAAGTGAACAAGCTTTAAGATGACACAAATAACTCTACGTGCCCAAAAATTGACGAGAGCCTGGTTCCACCACATTGCCTCACATATGATTTGGTTTCTGACCTCATGATTTTAGTAATTTGAAACAGCCAAAAAATGTCAGAAAAAAACTTTGTAATTCTAAGGTAGCAACTTGAGGTCTTTCCTTGCTCGTTCAAACAGCTTTGGAGATCACTTTGGGGGCAAGAGAACTCCCTATCTCCTGTACCTGAACCCTCAGTGGCTCACCATCCCTCATCAGAGGGAAGGGACTCGCCAGTTCCTAGATTTCCTTATGTCTTCTTTCGATGTAAGTTTAGTTGTTATTTTTTCCTCTCTCTCTTTCTCTCTCTGATTGTTTTGATGCACCTCGACACCAAACAGCACCTTTGATGCACCGATAGAAACTCACAGAGTTATGCATAATGAACAGTATTACACACATTATTGTAGATTGCAAGTAACAGAAAAAGGGTATGAGACTTAGTAGCTCAAATTTAATAAGTTCGACGTTTAGCCCGGTAAAGGGCTTCTTCAGGAACATGTACCAAAAAATATAAAGTATTACACACATTAGGTAGACGCCATAATGGACGCCACTACATACTAGGCATACATTATCATGAACACTACCAAATTATGCAAGACCAAAGATCGTACATAACAAGATAGTTCACTGGGCCAAACAAGTGTGCGCGGAAGTACGCGCATTGGACGCGCATTGGTTTATAAGGGCATAAAACACAACACACCTTGGTACACTCAGCATGGCAGACGTCAACCCAGTAGCCTACAATTGACACTCGCAGATATTGATGCCACGCTCCTTGATGGTCTGCCGCGATGCACATCGTTTTCTAGGAATTACGAAGTTTTATCTGACATGTTTAGCTATTTTGAGTTACTAAGACCATAATATTAAGGTCGAAAAACACATTTTGTTTTATCTGCTCTATCAAAATCGTAAGATTATTCGAAGTTATTATTATCGAGATATTAAAAGAATTACATTCTGATAAAGCTTGACGTGATCTGAAACTCAAAATCGTGGATGTCAAATTTCTCAATTCTAGGGACTGAGCAGGTAACACTTTGTATTTTTGAGGAAGCGATTTGTTTTACTTGACTGTCTACCAGTCAGCCGTCATTTTAAAAGTAAAGTATATTCAATTTTTACAAATTTTACAGGAGAGCCAAAAAATATATGTCGTTGTCCCAAAAAATTAAATGTTTGCAAAATATGTCCCACGTTTTTATCTTCAAGAATACAATTTTGATAATAACTTTTTTATAACATTTAGCAAGTGCTGTTTTCTAGGTAACAATATTCAGATTTTTAGCTTTCCTGTAAATAACAGTCAAACTGGTCCGTTGGTAGACCGTCAAGTAGAACATGCCCATCGTAGTAGACCGTTAAGGTGACTGGCACTTGCAATATTTTGAGCATTACAATTGTGAGGCAGTGCGGTGGAATCAGGCTCTCGTCAAAATAATCAAAGAGAAGAAAATTGCATTTTTCCGCAGGTTAATGAATTTTTATCAATGTTTTTGTTTTTTGGCTCAACTCCTTTCATGCCCATTTAAGAACTCATTTCGTGGATTTTCCTGTAAAACGCTAATTAAAGGCACAACAAATGGAAAATTTCAGTTACCACGGACTCTCAAGCTGTGGAAATAGCTAATCTTTCGCGGCCATAATTTTCTCACTAACTTTTCCTCTGAAAATAGGTGACCCCACCTCCTTCATTAGCAAATATTTCGACTTGTATTCAAGATAAATTGATATTTTTTAAATTCAAATATAGACAAGTGAACAGGATTTAAGATGATACCAATAACTCTACATAATGTACAAACATTGACGAAAGCCTGATTCCACCACGCTGCATCACAATTATTATGGTTTGACGTCTGTCGTACTAGTGGTGCTGAAATGGGTTAAATGGGTATTGTAAAATCATTTTTTAGCAATAATATATGTACTTAGATGACCTACTTTTGCCAGGAAAGCCGTTTACGCCATAGCATGTTTACGTATGAAATATATCAAATGAGGTAGAAGTTGCAAATGGTATGTTTTGTTTTACCGAAATCAGCAGTGATATTTCATACGTAAACATGCTATGGCGTAAACGACTTTCCTGACAAAAATAGGTCATCTAAGTACATGTATTGCTATATTTAGGGTGAACATTTGTCTTAGAAGTAAAGAACATTGATTCCTGTTTAACAGGTCTAAAGATCATATTGAGGACATACTAATCTATGACATTCATCAGTGTTTCAAAGCATTATACTGGCATTCATTTATCTTAAATAGACTCTTTGATCATCTGCACGTGTTCCCTTTGCGCTCACTTAACTTTCTGTGGATAGCAGCACGAAGTTTTTCTTCCACAGCAAAAAATGAACACCAAGTCTGGCACATATTCCTCCCCCTCCCCCCTATCTCTTTTCTAAAACCCATGATGCACTCTCTCCTAACCCCAGCCCACAGCCCACACCACACAAATCACTCTCATCTATCACAGGCCCCAGAAGCCCCTGTACTCTCATCCCAAAAACAAACGAGCAAACA